GATTTTAAAGTGACCCTAAATTGAAATATATTTAATTGGAAATTGAACCGAAAAACTAACTACTAAATAATAAATATACTGAAACAAATTCATTCAATTTGCTATAAAAAGTTAATCATTTTGAATATGTACCTGTTAACGACTTCCATGCTGTGCAATGACATCTCCATGTTGACCAGGACTGAGAAGTACTCCGTTATCTGACTGGAGCCCTATATTATTATTATAATCAACATACAACCTATAGGCATGCAAAGTATCATGTATTGTAGGTTGAGCTCCTGGCCACTTACCCTCAAACTTTCAACTCAAGGGTGGATAAACTAGTAGAAATGCACCATATGATTGATGCATTTCTCAAGGACTTGATCGCATATGAATAAATATGCGATAGGATCTCAATTAAATCTCCAATTGGTGTTAAATTATTCCACAATAGTTACTATTTTGCATGGGGTGGTAATTCTTGGATGTTAGGTATTCTAAAGTGGGCCAGGGCTCAAATTTGGTTGTGTGGCTGGGAACTTCGCAAATTCAAAATAAAAACATGAAACTTATTTTTTCACAACAGAGAAGTCCGGGCTGAAATACCAGGACACGAGGAGGACTTGAAACACCAATCCACTACGGGAGTCTCAGGCCATCCCTGTTACTTGTGATTTGATTTGATTTGATTTGGTGACTCACATTCGATGGTGAATTTACAAATACACTTTTTAACCAGCACTAAGCCAAAAAGGTATGAAATAAAATTTTTATTTTTAACAATAAGTTCCGCACTTTCTGAGTGATCATTGATCTAATACTCTAATTTAAAATACAAGAGAAATATCTGTCTTATGAATCACAATTTGAATTTGGCAGCAAGATCTTATTAAGAAACACAGTGAATATTTTAAAGACAATAAACTTATACGTTTACCTGCATGAGTTTAAGTAATATTTCTATGGCAATCATTGGATTGTATTCAACCAAATCCTGAAAATAAAATAGTTCAATTTTATTATGGATTTTTGATCATGACGCCCCCTTAGCCTTGCAGTTACTACTTACCCTTCTACTTACTGGAAGTGTGCTATCCCTAGATTAGTTATAGCTAACCCCCACCCCACCCCCTTCTACTTACTGGAAGTGTGCTATCCCTAGATTAGTTATAACTAACCCCCACCCCACCCCCTTCTACTTACTGGAATGCTGCAATCCCTAGATTAGTTATAACTAAC